GAGATTCTCCCCCACCAGGCTCACTCCAAATGGATAGAGCCAGCCACCCACTCGGGCCTCACTCCTGCAAAATAGGTTAGAGCCCACCAGCTCCACACAGAGAGGCCCCACCAGCCTCCACCACAGGCCTCCACTCTGCAAAATGGGTAGAGGCCCAGCCAGCCTCCACTGCTGGCCTTCGCTCTGCTAAATGGATAGAGGCCCAGCCAGCCTCCACTGCTGGCCTTCACTCTGCAAAATGGGTAGAGGCCCAGCCAGCCTCCACTGGTGGCCTTCACTCTGCAAAATGGGTAGAGGCCCAGCCAGCCTCCACCACAGGCCTCCACTCTGCAAAATAGGTAGAGGCCCCACCAGCCTCTACTGCCAGCCTCCACTCTGCAAAATGGATAGAGGCCCCGCCAGCCTCCACCACCAGCCTCCCCGAGGTCTGAGCTACTCTGCGTGACCCCGCCTGCCCCTCTGGCTCAAACAGACCCGAAGGTGAGCGCCGCCCCCCCCCCGCACGTCTCGGCCTCCGGTCTCATGCTCCCTCCCTCTCGGCCTGACCCCGCGAGTGTCCTCTAAGGGTCTCTATGTGGGGCCTCGGCCCGGCCTCTATTTCTGTTTCGTCCCCCGACCCTGAGAGTCTCATATCTGTCCATGTCCCGCCCTGCGCTGCCCCGTCCCCGAACAGCGGGAGAACTGAGGCAGAGGCGGGAGACGAGAGGGCACACGCGAAACCCCAGAACTGCGGGGAACTGAGGCAGAGAGTGGCAGGCTGCGAAATCCCAGAACCGCAAGGGGAACTGAGCAGAAAGGGAGGACGGGGGGCACAATGGAAAACCCAGACCGGGGGATGGGAGAACGGGGAGGAGGGAACCGGACCAGGGTAGGCACGGGGAAACACGCGGAACCGACGGGGTAAATGAGCGCAGATGGCACGGTAGCGAGACCCCGGGACGCGGGGAAACTGAGCACGAGGAAAGCAGAGAGACCGGAACTATTGGAACTGGGCAGAGGTTGGACTGGGACGGTGACTGAGCAGAAGCAGAGGACGAAAACGGACGTAGATGGCAGGAGAGAGCCCAAAACCGGACCGTGGGGAAACTGAGGCAGAGGAGGGAGGCACGCGGGAAAAACCCGGCCGGGACGTGTGGGAAACTGAGAGAGAGAGAGGGAGCACGCTCGGAACCGCGGACCGGCGGGGAAACTGAGGCAAGAGAGGTACCGGGGAAACGCCGGCGGGAAAAGCGAGTACCGGGACCCACGGGGCGTAAACTGAGGCAGAGAGAGGGAGCACGCGAAAAACTCCGGGACCGCGGGGAACTGAGGCAGAGAGAAGGGCAGGTGGAAAACCCGGAACGGTGGGGGGTAAACTGAGGAGAGAAGAGGCGCACGGGGAAACCCTGGAACCGCAGGGGGAAACTAGGCAGAAGAGGGTGGCACGTGGGAAAACCCGGGACTGCGGGGGGAAACTGAGGCAGAGAGGAGGCAGTCACGAGACCCGGAACCCTGGAGGAACTGAGGCAGAGAGAGGCAGCATGCGGAAAACCTGGGACCGCAGGGGAAACTGAGGCAGAAGAGAGGCGCGGGAAACCACGACGTGGGTAAACTGAGCAGAGAGAGGGGGCACGCGGAAAACCCGACCGGTGGGAAACTGAGGCAAGAGAAGGGCACGCGGGAAGACCCGGGACTGCGGAGGGAAACTGAGCAAAGAGGGAGCACGCAGGAAGACCTGGACCGCGTGGGGAACTGATGGCAGAGAGAAGGGCAGCGGAAGACCCGATGCGGAGGGAAACTGAGGCAGAGAGAGGGGAGCACGCAGGAAGACCCCTGGACCGCGTGGGGAAACTGAGGCAGAGAGAAGGGGCACGCGGGAAGACCCCGGGACTGCAGAGGGAAACTGGCAGAGAGAGGAGCAACGCGGGAAGACCCAGGACCGCAGGGGGTAAACTGAGGGCAGAGAGAAGGGGCACGCGGGAAAACCCAGCGCGGGGTAAACTGAGGCAGAGAGATGTGAGCACGCGGGAAAACCCGGACTGCGGGGTAAAACTGAGGCAGAGAGAGGTGGCACGCGGAAACGCGGGGTAAACTGGGCAGGCACCACCTGGGCGCGTGCGGGGCCCGGGCGCGGGCGCACGCTCCTGCTCGCGGGGGCGCGGCGGGCGCGGAGCCGGCTCCTCCCTGGCGGCTCGCGGCGCGGTGGAGTGTGGGGCCGCGGCGGGTCCTCTCCAGCGAGTCGGGCCGGCCGTGGCTCTGGGGCCGGGTTTCGGCCGGGCGAGTTAGGATTTACTGGGGGCCGTCGAAGTGAGCGCGGCCTGGCTTCGCCCGGCCGTCGCTCGCGGGCCGCCAAGTCCCGGATCACCGGGACTCGATGGTGAACAGGCTGCGGAGGGGCGAGACCTGTCACGCGGCCTTGTCACCGGCCTCCCGAGTCGGCCTCCGGCCGGGCTCCACCTTCGTTATAACTCCTCGGCTCGTCCTGGCGCGCGGCGCCCGTCTCGCCTCCCTCATGGGCCCGGTGGCCAGTGACGGCGTTTTGGCACAAGGAGAGACTCGGCGTCCCACGGTGGCTCCGTTTCTAGGAGGGAGGCCCAGACCTGCCCCCCAACGCCAGCTCGGTGTGCCATTCCTTTCCCCCCTCCGGAGAATGCTGTTCCCCGTTGTCGTCGTCATCGGTGCCTTTTCAGCCAGGCGCGGCGGGGCGGGTGGAGCGAGAGGGAGGTCGCTCACGGGAGGTCGAGGCCAGCTGAGCACGGCGAGCCCGTCTCTACAAAAATGAAAGAATGACTGACAACTAAAAAAATATGATATATATGTATATAAAAAATTAACTCGGGGAGGCCGAGGCGGGAGGATCGAGCTCGAGGTCAGGAGTTGGAGGCCAGCCTGAGCAAGAGTGAGACCCTGTGTCTACTAAAAAAAATATAGAAAGAAACTAGCCTCACAACTAAAAATATATATAGAGAGATAAATAAAAAATTAACTTGGGGAGCCGGAGGCGGGAGATTGCTCGAGTCGGGAGTCGAGCCGGCCTGGCATTCATTTTTTTCCTATTAAAAAATAGAAAGAAATGAGTAAACAATAAAAGTATATAGGAGAGAAAAAAAAATGAGCGGGGTAGGCGCACGCCTGGTATTCCCAGCTACGGGGAGGAGGCCGAGGCAGGAGGCTCGCTGGAGGCAGGAGTCGAGGCTGCAGTGAGCAGGCTGACGCACGGCGCGCACTCTAAACCCGGCGACAGAGCGAGACTCGGCCTCCAAAAAGAAGAAGAAACAACCGCCTTTGACCCGATTGCCCCGGGACACCACCGGGTTCGAGGCTCCAGGGAGCCGCCACGGCCTCCCGGCTCCGCGTACTGCGGCAGCAGCACGGAAGTTCATGAACTGGTCACCGTCCTGGAAGCGCTTCTTGATGTCGCAGCGCCCGGGTCATCTGCACACACTTTCGTCACGCGCCCCGGTTGGCTGGGGGGTAGAGGCCGACGGGAGGACTGGAGGCCGGGGGGTGCGGGGTGGTGGAGTCGCGGCCTCCCGGTCACCCCGTCCGTGCCCTCCGTGCCCCGAGGTCCAAACTGGGTTTTTTTTATTTTATTTTCGTTCGCTTTGTCCTCAAAGTCAGCCGCTTTTTTTGTTTTGTTTTGTGTTTGTTCGTTTTCTGATTTTGTTTTTGTTTGTGTTTTTTTTGTGTTCTTGTTATTCTTGTTTTTTGTGTTTTGTTTTGTTTGTTTTGGTTTTTTTGTGTTTTTGTGTGTTTTGATTTTTTTTTTGTTTGTCTTTTGTTTTTGTTTGTTTCTGTGTTTGTTGTTATTTGTTTTGTTTTGTTTTGTTTTGTTTCTGATTGTTTTGTGTTTGTTTTGCTTTTTTGGTTTTGTGTTGTTTTGTTTTGTTTTTGTTTGTTTGTTTTCTTGATTTGTTTGATTTTTTGTTGTTTTGTTTGTGTTTTTTTGTGTTCGTGTTTTGTGTTTGTTTTGTTGTGTTTTGTTTTTGTGTTTTTTGTGTTTGTGTGTTTTTGTGTTTGTTGTTTTTAGACTGGTCCTCTTCCTGTCTCTCCGGAGGACCAGGTGAAGCGGAAGAGATCCCCCTCCCCACAACCCGGAAGTTTTTTTTTTATTTTTTGGCGTCCCACGAACCACAAAGACAGAGAGAGAGGAAACCCCAAGAATAAACCGAACGGAGAGGAAAAACGGAGCTGAGAAATATAGACGGGAATCGTGCGGGCGCCTGGATCCAGCCGTTCCTGACGCCGCCCTCCCTCATCTCGGTGACAAAACCCGGGAAATCGGCCGGCCGGGACGTTTTCTCGGCAGGCCCGTCACGAAAAGACACAAATTCTCTGAGAAATAAAACCGACGGAGAGAGAAAAATAGGGTGAAGAACGGATGGAATCCATGCGGGCGCTGATCGGAGCCGTCCGTTACCGCCCTCCTGGGAAATCTCTCCGTCCCGCACGCGCGGGAGGAGGGGGAAAAACCGTGCCACGCAGAAGGGGAGCTGGGGAGGGAGGCCACGGGGTGGGACCGGGAGGGAGGCGGGGCACGCCTCACCCGTTGTCGGGGGCGCCGTGGGACACTTGGCGGCCGAGACTCCGAGCGTGACCGCTCGTTAGTAGCGAGTAGCGTGATGACGTCCTGGCCAGCACCTTGAGCATTGATGTGCTCTGGCTCACCTGGAGGCAGAAAGTTACGGGGCTCAGGGACCGCCCCCGCCGCCCGCCACCCCCGGACTCGGTGGCCGGCTGACACACTGGGGGTGGGGACAAAAAACCCCCCTCATCTGGTCCTTCCGCGTCCTCTTAAATCGGCACTCTGGGAGAGGCGAGGAGGAGAATCCGGTCGAGCCTGGCCCGAGCAAGAAAGCCCCGAAGACCCCCGTGTCTACTAAAAAAAAAAAAAAAATAGAAAGAAATGAGCTGGACGACTAAAAATATATAGAGAAAAAAAACGAGCCGGGCGTGGAGGCACATGCCTGGAGTCCCAGCTACTACTCGGGAGGGAGGCCGAGGCGGGAGGATCGCTGGAGGCCAGGAGTTGGAGGCTGCTGTGAGCGAGAAAATTAATTGGCCGAGTAAAAATATATATTTAAAAAATATAAGGCCGGGCGCGGAGGCTCACGCCTGTCGTCCCAGCACTCTGGGAGGCCGAGGAGGGAGGATAGCAATCGAGGCCAGGAGTTGGAGGCCAGCCTGAGCAAGAGCGAGACCCCGTCTCTACTAAAAATAGACAGAAATTAATTGACCAACTAAAAAAAATACACAAAAAACGAGCCGGGCGTGGAGGCGCATGCCTGTCGTCCCAGCTACTCGGGAGGGAGGCCGAGGCTGGAGGCTCGCTGGAGGCCGGGAGTCGGAGGCTGCTGTGAGCGAGGCTGACGCCACGGCGCTCACTCCGGCCCGGGCGACAGAGCGAGACTCTGTCCCGAAAAAAAAAAAAAAAAACCATCCGACCCCTTGAGCCTGAGTCCACTGAGGCATGAGGTCCGACTCTGAGCCTCAACCCCCAGCGGGAAGGGAGGCCGCCGCCAGGCGGAAAGCCCCGGAAAGCCGGGGGCGGGGCGGGGGGACAAAGAGGACCCGGAGAAAGGGGGTTGAGCCTCAAACGCTCGGCCCGTCCCCCCTCTAGTCGCCGGATTCGTCACCCCTCTTTGCCTCCGCCCGAGGAGGCCGAGACGAGAAGGAAGAGGCCCAGAATCTGGAGGCTTCTCTGAACCTCCGCCCTGGCTGGTAACTTGCCCCTGTCCTCACCGGCCTCGTCCCCGTCTACACTGCCTTACTTACTTATTTATTTATTATTTTTGAGACAGAGTCTCGCTCTGTCGCCCGGGGTGAGCGCCGTGGCGTCAGCCTCGCTCACAGCGGCCTCCGACTCCTGGCCTCCAGCGATCCTCCCGCCTCGGCCTCCCTCCCGAGTAGCTGGGACTACAGGCGTGCGCCACCACGCCCGGCTCGTTTTTTTCTATATATTTTTAGTTGGCCGATTAATTTACTTCTATTTTGTTTTTTAGTAGAATTGGGGGTCTCGCTCTTGCTCAGGCTGGCCTCCAACTCCCGACCTCGAGTGAGCCTCCCTCCTCAGCCTCCCTCCCGAGTAGCTGGGACGACAGGCATGCGCCTCCACGCCCGGCTCGTTTATTCTACGTATTTTTAATCAGCCGATTAATTTATTTCTATTTTTTTAGTAGAGACAAGGGGGTCTCGCTCTTGCGCAGGCTGGCCTCGACCTCCCGGCCTCGATTGAGCGATCCTCCCTCCTCGGCCTCCCAGAGCGCTGGGCTGACACTCTGCCCAATTTTTTCCACACATGTTCAGTCCTCGAGCTCATTTCCTTCAATTTTTTTTTCAGTAGAGACGGGGTCTCGCTCTTGCGCAGGCTGGCCTCGACCTCCTGACCTCGATCGATCCTCCCTCCTCGGCCTCCCAGAGTGGTAAAATGACAGGCGTGAGCCTCCGCGCCCGGCTCACCATTTTTTTTTTATCTATATACATATTTTTTTAGTTGTCCACCTAATTTCTTCCTATTTTTTTTTTTTTAGTAGAGACGGCGTCTCGCTCTTGAGCTCGGGCCGGCCTCCAACTCCCGGCCTCGATCGAGCGTGATCCTCCCTCCTCGGCCTCCCTCCCCGAGCTCTGGGATGACAGGCCGGAGAGGAAGGGCCTCCAGCTTGCTTGTTGCCATCCTCCCCGTGGCTAGTGTTGAGGGGTTGCTCCCCGGCCTCCCTCCCGGGCCTCCCGGCCTCCACCCGTACCTTGTAGTCCAGGGAGAGCAGGGTCTCCGTCTTGGAGGCCCAGCTCCACTTGTGGACCACGTAGCCCTTGTGGTCGTTGGTCGTCCCGCCCTCCTCGTCCAAGACCAGCACGAAGGGGCAGCTGGGAGAGACACGGGGGTGGGGGAGCGTTAGAGGCCGCCGGCCTCCAAATGGAGGCCGCCCTCGCCGACGGCCTCCAGGCAGGGCGACACCCACCCCAGACCCGTGAGATCCCGTCCCCGGGGCAGACAAAACAGCAGAACCCCAACAGCCGAGCCTCAGTTTCCCCCTTCCGTTGAGCCCCGGAGGCGGCCCCCCCCCGAAGGCCCGTGGAGGCCGGGAGAGGAGTCTAGGGCGGAGGCCCGGGTTCGTCGGAGAGAGGCGGCGGGCGGAGGCCCGGCCGGGGAGGCTGGCCTCGGTCTCGCCCAGAATGCTGAGCGCTCGGGACGGAGGGCAGCCCGGGGAGGCGCCCCCGAACCTCGACCGCAGGAGGCCGGGAGGGAGGTTCGTTTCCGGAACGTTCTTTTCCCGACCCCGGGGGGGAGAGCCGGGCGAGGTCTGGGGAGAGAGGCCGCCCGGAAAAGGGGGTGTGGAGGCCGGGCCCCCGAAGGAGGCTCACGCCTGTCGTCCCGGCTCGCCGGGAGGCCGAGGAGGGAGGATCGATCGATCGCTCGAGGTCAGGAGGTCCAGGCCGGCCTGATGAGCAAGAGCGAGACCCCGGCTCTACTAAAAAATAGAAAGAAACGAGCTGGACGACTGAAAAAATATAGAGGGAAAAAAACGAGCCGGGCGTGGAGGCGCACGCCTGGAGTCCCAGCTACTCGGGAATTGGAGGCTGAGGCGGGAGGCTCGCTGGAGGCTGGGAGTTGGAGGCTGCTGTGAGCGAGGCCGACGCCACGGTGCTCACTCCGGCCCGGGCAACAGAGCGAGACTCTGTCTCAAAAAAAAAATAAATTAAAAAAATAAAAAGTAATAAAAAAACTTTTTTTATATGAATTTATATATAATAAATTAATATATAAATAAAATAAAATATTAAAAAAATTTGAGACTCTCAAAAAAAAATTAAAAAATAATAAATAAAAAAACTTTATTTATTTTATAATTAAAATTTATATTATATTAAAAAATAAAATATAAAATTAAAAAATTAAATTTAAAAATTTGAGCTCTCAAAACATTAAAAATAAAAAATAATAATAATAAAATTTTATTTTATTTTATAACAAATTTATATTTATAATAAATAAGATTAAATAAAAATAAACTTAAAAAACTTTGAGAAAAAAAATTTAAAAAATAAAAAATAAATAAAATAAAATTTTATTCTTATTTTATAATCAATAAATTATATTTATAATAATAAAATTAAAATATAAAATAAATTAAAAAAATTGAGACTTCAAAAACAATTAAAAAAATAAAAAATAAATAAAATAAAATTTTATTTTTATTTTATAATAAATTTAATATTTATAATAAAAATAAATTAAAATTAAAAAATAAACTTAAAAACTGAGAAAAAAAATTAAAAATAAAAAATAAAATAAAATAAAATTTATTTATTTATATCAATAAATTTATATTTATAAATAAAATAAAATTAAAATTAAAAAAGTAAAGATAAAAAGTTTAGACCGTCTCAAAAAATTAAAAATTTTAAAAAAATAAAATAAAAATTTTATTTTATTTTATAATAAATTTATTTATAATAAAATAAAAATTAAAATAATAAAAACAAAATAAAAAAAAATTGGGGGACTCTGTCTCAAAAAAAAAAAAAACAAATTAAAAAAATAAAATAAAATAAAAACTCCCAGAGTAGAATCTCATTGGCTAGACTCAGGTCACATGGGTAACTTCGACCAATCTTGTGATGTGGGCTGGGAGAGGCCCAGATAAGAAAACTCAGGCAGGAGGATCAGGCTGGAGGCCAGGAGTCGGAGGCTGCTGTGAGCGAGGCTGACGCCACGGCGCTCGCTCCGGCCCGGGAGACAGAGCGAGACTCTGCCCCCAAAAAAGAAAATAAAAATAAAAATAGAAAAGAGAGCGGCCTCCGGGCCTCCCTCCTTCTCCGTTCCCTGGCATAAAATACTTTTCCACTCGCTAAAAACAACAACAACAACAAAAATTCTCCCGTGAATCTGACGAGCAGAGGAGACCTTAGCGCTCCGGGGATCGGAACCGAGCGGGACTCAGACCCCTGCACACAGCCCGGGGCTTCCTGTCTTGTTTTTTTTTTTCTGAGCCTCCCGCCTCGGCCTCCCTCCCCGAGTAGCTGGGACTACAGGCATGCGCCACCACGCCCGGCTCTTTTTTTCTATATATATTAGTCGGCCAATTAATTTCTTTCTATTTATAGTAGAGACGGGGTCTCGCTCTTGCTCAGGCTGGTTTCGAACTCCTGGCCTCAAGCGAGCCTCCCGCCTCGGCCTCCCTCCCCGAGTAGCTGGGACTACAGGCATGCGCCACCACGCCCGGCTCGTTTTTTCTGTATATTTTTATTTGTCCAGCTCATTTCTTTCTATTTTCAGTAGACACAGGGTCTCGCTCTTGCTCAGGCCGGCCTCCAACTCCTGACCTCGAGCGATCCTCCTGCCTCGGCCTCCCAGAGTGCCGGGATGACAGGCTGGCTAATTTTTTCCACATATTTTTAGTCGTCTGGCTAATTTCTTTCTATTTTCAGTAGAGACGGGGTCTCGCTCTTGTTCAGAGGCTGGCCTCAAACTCCTGGCCTCAAGAGATCCTCCCGCCTCGGCCTCCCTCCCGAGTAGCTGGGACTCCAGGCGTGCGCCACCACGCCCGGCTCGTTTCTTCTCTATATATTTTTAGTTGTCCAAGTCACTTCTTTCTATTTTTTTTTTTTTTTTAGCAGAGACGGGGCCTCACTCTTGCTCAGGTTAGCCTCCGACTCCCGACCTCTACTGATCGATCCTCCCTCCTCGGCCTCCCCCCACAGTGCTGGGACGACAGGCTGGCTAATTTTTCCCATATATTTTATATACATACATATTTTTTTTTTTTTAGCAGAGAGAGCAATCGCCTATTGAGCCAGAGGCCGGCCTCCGCTGGCTACAATACTGAGCGATCCTCCCTCCTCGGCCTCCTTCCACAGTGCCGGGACGACAGCTGGCTTAATTTTTTTCCCATATTTAATATATATAAGGCATATATCTTCTATTTATTCAGTAGAAATAATCGCCCTTGAGCCCAGAAGCCGCTCGCTCCCGGCCTCTACTGATCCATCCTCCCCTCCTCGGCCTCCCCCCAGAGTGCGGGGACGACAGGCGTGGGGCCTCCGCCATATAGAGGGGAACCTGGTCCGCCTGGTCTCCCCCGAGCCACCCACCGGGTCTTGAGGTTAATAATAGACAGAAATGGCCCCGGGGCTGAACAGGGCCAGCAGGGGGAAGCCGGGCGTGTGCTAACAGCAGGGGATGTCAATAGACAACACATATCTGGCTCACGCGATGTTGCCCCGGGGGAATACTGGCACGGCGTCAAGGAAACTGAGAGCCGGGACGGAGCTCGCTCCGCAAAATCGGAGGCCGGGATTGAGGCGGCCTGAACAAAGAGCGAGACCCCGTCTCACATAAATCAACGAAGAATACCAAAGACTAAAATATCGGAAAAAATGAGCCAGCCCATCACCCGCACTAAACATAGAAAGGCCGAGGAGGAGGATCGATCAAGGCGGGAGTTGAGGCAACATAACAACAACACATACATACATCCCATAAAACAGAAAGAAATGAAGCGGACAACTAACGTATGTGAAAATTTAGAACAACCTGTCGTACAGAGACATACTGGGGCCGAGGAGGAGCTCACTCGAGGCCAGCCGAGAAAAGAAAAGACCAACGTCTCCACTCAAAAACAAACCAATAGAAAGCAAAATGAAGCGGACGACTAAAACTATGCGGAAAACTCAGCCAGCCGGCTCTCCCGGCACGCTGGGTGGGAGGCGAGGAGGGAGGCTCGCTCGCTGGACGCGGGAGTTGGAAGGCCGCCTGAGCACAAGAGCTGGTTTCTAGGTTGCTTTGCCTGATTTCTTTCTGTTTTTTTTTTTTTTTTTTGAGTGAGACGAGGGTCTCGCTCTTGCTCGGCTGGTTTTGACTCCTGGCTCCAAGCGAGCGAGCCTCCCTCCTCGGCCTCCCCCAAGAGTGCCGGGATGACAGGCGTGAGCCTCCACCGCGCCCGGCCTGGACAGACTCTTGTCATCGCCCCTCCCGGGCGGGGGCGTCTGGCTCGACTAATATGTGTCAATAAAATAAAATAAAATAAAATAAAATAAAATAAAAAAAGAACCCCAGGGTAGTCGAGGACGAGGAGCGGGAGGAGAGGGACGAGTTAGCAGGGATCAAGTTCAGAGAAAGCTCAGATTCGGCCCCTTTCCTGCTCGCCTCGGCCTCCCCTCGCGGGGGAAGAGCTTTGACGTATTTGGTGGCTTGAGGGGGACGTCCCCGGGGCTGGGGAGAGAGGGAGGCCGGGGAGGGAGGATGGGGAAAGAGGCTAGGGGGAGAGAGGCTAGGGGGAGAGAAGCCGGGGAGGGAGGCCAGGGAGAGAGGCCAGGAAGAGAGGCCGGGGAGGCAAGACCGAGAGGGAGGCCGGGGAGAGAGGCCGGGAAGGGAAGACGAGGAGGAAGGCTTGGAAGAGAGGCCAGAGAGGGAAGCTGGGAAGAGAGGCCAGGGAGGGAGCCTGGGGAGAGACGCAGAGCAGAGAGGCCAGGAACAGAGACCATGGAGGGAGGCCAGGGAGAGAGGCTGGGAAGAGAGGCCAGGGAGAGAGGCCAGGGAGAGGGAGGCCGGGGAGAGAGGTTGGGAAGACAGGGTGGGGAGAGAGAGGCCGGGAAGAGAGAAGCCTGGGGAGAGAGAGGCCAGGGAGAGAGAGGCCGGGGAGAGAGGCCAGGGGAGAGAGGCCAGGGAGGGAGGTCAGGAACAGAGACCAGGGAGGGAGACTGGGGAGAGAGGTTGGGAAGACAGGCCAGGGAGAGAGGCTGGGGAGAGAGAGGCCCGGGGAGAGAGAGGCCCGGGGAGAGAGAGGCCCGGGGAGGGAGGCCGGGGAGGGAGGCCTGGGGAGAGAGAGGCCCGGGGAGAGAGAGGCTGGGGAGAGAGGCCTGGGGAGAGAGGCCAGGGAGGGAGGTCAGGAACAGAGACCAGGGAGGGAGGCCAGGGAGAGAGGCCGGGAAGAGAGGCCAGGAACAGAGACCAGGGAGGGAGGCCAGGGAGAGAGGCCGGG